TTCTACTATAAATACCCNCCCTACCTACCCCCCAAAACCCAACCCTACCTTACCCCCACCCCCCCCTACCCCTCCCCCCTACCCCCCCAAACTTTTAATATAACCCCTAAGTTTATTAAATTACACTTTGACCCTATTTTCTACTATAAATACCGCCCATTCTTCTTTTTTTTCCCACAAAAAATCAATCTTCTCTCTCAAATCTCTTACATTCTAATATCCTATCTATATTCTATATTATTCTCTCAATTTTGTTACTATCAAGTATCAAGTGATATCTTTCAAGTTTCAACTTTTAAGTATTTGGGCAAATTTTTTGGAGCAACTTTCAAACTTCAAATTAATTCGTCAAGTATTTGGAGCAACTGATACTGAAACTGCTCCTTCTACTTCTAAGTCTGGAGCAGAAGTTTTATGGGAAGATATGGATGATATAACAGGTTTTGATTCCTCTAATGATGATGAACTTGATTCTTATCTTAATCAAGGATTGGAAAATATTAAAGACGAAGAAGGCAAGGAACAACTTTAGTCATGGTGGAGGGAGCGTGGCAAGGCTTTTCCAACACTTTCAATTATGGCCCGAGATATCCTGTCTATTCAAGCATCATCAGTAGCATCGGAGAGTGCTTTTAGCGCAACAAGATTTCAAATTGGAGATCATAGACATTCATTAGCGGAGGACGGTCTAGAGATTTCCGTATTATTCAGAGATTGGATTAATTCAGAAAGAAGAAATCTTGGTTTTGAAAAATTAACCACTAGGAAAGAAGAAGAATACAATGAGATACTTACCACTGGGAGCGATGACGGCATGGAGCTCATGGAACATCAATCAACATTGCTAATTCCAGTAGAATGTCCGAGAGATATTATTGATAAGTTACAAAGAAGCTATACAGGAGCTTACAAACATTAGTATGATAATTTGTAATTGGCTACTAAGAGGCCTAGTTCAAACAGAACCCTTCCTAGAAGGTGGCTGCGTAGATTATGTGCTCTTCAAAAGAATTATATTTGTATTTGAGATTTGAAAGTTCTATTAATAAAATAAAAGGCTCTAAGCGTTGAATTATTTTTATGAATTGTCTTAGTTACTTAATAGTTAATACTTTGAAATTATATTAAATAAATTATAACTCTATTATAAATTTATAATTACTAGAATATTTCATTACAAGTCTTTTGTTTTAATATTTTAAAATTCTTTACTTAGTTTTCTAATTTTCGTTTTAACATAGTAACATTTAAGTTTATTAAATAAGTCAAAAATCTAGTCGTTGCAAACTTTAAAAACATAGTAATTTTCAAAAAACTAGACGTTTTCTTTATTAAAAAAAATACACTTAAGGCCCACGAACCCGTCCCGTCCCGTCCCATCCCGTTTGTTAGCGGGACGGGATGGGACGACCATTTCGTCCCGTCTGTCCCGTCCCGTTTCGTCCCGTCCTGCCACCGTCCCGCTTAAATGTCGTTCCGTCCCGTTAAATCAAACCTTAAACATTAAGGGTATAAAGATTTTCTATGTGGCATAGGAATGTAAAAATTCCTAGTATAAATAGGTAATTTTTTTTTTTTTTTGAAAAAAAAAATTCTTTTGTATGTAAAAAGTGTCTAGTGGATCTGGGCTGGCGACTCTAATTGGGCCTGCTGGCGACTACGTCGGTTTGTCATGGACACCAAAGATGGCATGGAGTTGTTTCCATGTGGGCGCCTTCACATGTCATGGTATGAGCTGTTCCTCCCTGATTATTGGTTATGACTGCCATTAGAATTAGAAGAATTAGCATACATAGCCGGTCAATCGCTTGAATTAAAAATAATCGGTGGGTATATAATAGTGAATCTCGACGATCATTTATATTATATGTTAAAATGGAAATTTACATCAACTTAATAATAATTAGTAAGAGTTTATATAAATGCATTGTATAATTATATGTTTGGTACAAATATTGAATGCAGAGTAAATTTTTTTCTCACTCTATTTTCCGTGCATCTATTGGACCAGCTTGTTGTCTCTCTCCTATCATGTATTCAACTCTCATTTTCATACAAGGCCCATATTTTCTTACGGGTTAGCTTAGGTCAATTCGTTGACCACAATGGGCTCTTTTATGAGGCATACACAAGATTTTTATGTACTAACTTTTCCTTTCCTTTTTGTAAGACAGAGACATATGAGAAGTTGACCATTCAGGAAACCTTCGCTTCACTGGGCCCAATTCTTCATTTTGCCAACTGTTTATGGGTAGGCCCATCTTAATTTGGGAACTAATTTGATAGGCCCGTATATGTGATCCCTTTCTTGTGCAAACAAATATCAGCCTAATTATTTGGACCCCTTATTCTAGAAAGGAATTTTTACCTCCTGTAGCAAACGTTGATACCTTATTTATTTTAAATAAATACCCTTTTAAAAAATTATCTTCTATAGCTACCTTTTGATTTTTATAGCCAAATATCTATTTATGGTCACCTCCTACCCTTAAGCCGTAAAATATGCTTTGTATTATTTTCTCTCTCATTCTTCAGATTTTTCTCCACCCTCTCTCTCTAATGCCAGTCTTTCTCCATGAATACAACCATGATTCTCTACTGATTCATCTTCATTATCGAACGAAATTTTCATTGTCAGTGGTCTGGGGCTCTTAATCAATGTCGAAATCGAACCATATCTTCAATTTCCTGAACTATGCTTTCAGGCTGCTCCTTGACGGCGACCTTTGTTAAACCAGGTATCGACAAAGTCCCATTAATGGGTGTGTCTAAGCTGACAAAGTTGAGGTTCTAAGTATGATTCGGGCTCGTGGAATCATAAAATCTTTCCCTAGATGGTTCTTTATCCCCTTGTTGTCTTTACTTGCTCAGATTCGAATTATTCAAGCTAGTTAATTCCAGACATTGTATCATTAAACTCTATTGGTAAAATACGACCATAATACATGGCTAACGTGATGGATGACTCGTGGCGAGTATCTCCCAGTGGGGTGTAGACATCATTAACTCTTATAGTGGCGATTCAGGGTTTTTGCTCGACGCCGGATTCGCCGAAAATTAGGGTTTGTTCTTGAACAAAGACGACGGGGTTTGGGGCTGACCAACTTGATTTTGCTGTTAATATATTTCAATATATTTTCAACGTATCACGCTGTATTTTCATGTATTTCATTGTCTTTTTTTTTCATTGTAATTCAATGTATCTCGCTGTAATCCATGTATTTCATTGTATTTATTGTCTTTTATTTCATTGTATTTCAATGTATCCCGCTGTATTCTATGTATTTCATTGTATTCACTGTCTCGCTATATGCCATGAATGTATTCATATGTTTTTTTTTAATTAATATAATTTATGTATTCGGATGTATTATATAATTTCTCTGAAGATTGCTATATTTTTGGGGTATTTTTCGGTTGAGAATCTTTTTTATAACTGGAAATACAAAATTTGTGTGTTGTAATTGAGTTTGTTGAGTTATATTAGGAGTCTATTATGTTAATTGATTCACTTTCCGCTTAAAAACAGTGCAATCCCCTGTTTCACGCCGTGAATACATTCGAATACAATAATCTGTCCAGCTGCAATCCCATGTTTCATGCCATGAATACAGTCGAATACACTCGAATACAACAACTGATTAGCTGGACTTCCCTGATTCACGCCTATTTTTGCTACTGTATTCATGAATACAGTAGCTTAGCTTAAATACATCTAATACATCTTATAACAAAAGAAAACGTATCTACAATCCGTAATATAGCAAATGGTATCTATAGATAGCTAATTACCACTAAAAGATAGTGCTCTATGAAAATTTCTCTTTTACAAAAGATCTCGCGTTTGTTAGGTTTTGATTTGTTTTCTGAAATTTTTAACCATATGATGTCTTTTATGATTTTCTTCGAAGAATTAACCTAAATAGCCGTTAACCCAACGTCTTGAATTAAAAAAAGTCAGCTAACATATAATATATGTATAATTCATGCATAAGATGCATATAACAGTATATAATCAATGTATAATCTATGTATACCAGCTAGGAAAAGTAAACAATGAATCCGACCGGCTATTTGTGTAAAAATCCCGTGGTTATATTGGTTAACTACATAGCTTAGGATTGGGGGAAGTGCATTGCTATTTACATGGTCCGGGTGTCACATTGCTTTGAAACTAGATGCATTGCTATTTACACGGTCCAAATAGAGTAAACATTTGATTTAATCAACTTTTGGCTTCGATTCGAGTTATTCGTCTTTTTGATCTCTATAGAAAATGGACAAATAATGTTCCAAATATTATATTAAATATTCATACATCAACTCAAGCTTACATGCATATTCAAAATATTATATTAAATATTCATATTCATATTCCACTGTATTTTATTAGCTATTTAAATCAATGTAAAACAACATGTAATATTAAAGATAATTAAGAAGCTACAACTGGAGAGAAACTGAGGTAGCAGGGGAAGGTTTCTAAAATTTTGACGAACAAAGAGGAGAATATTTGGATGGCAAGAAAATATCATATTTTATGCCTAAAATAAAAAGGAAGAAAAAGAAAGTCAGCAAAATTAATAAAAGAAAAAAGGTCAACAAAGGTTAAGTTAAAAGTTTTTACAATTAAGTTAGCGGCGTGAATTAGTTACGATATTCAAAACGTAGAGTTACTTAGCATTACTAAAAATGTAGAGTTACTTGGGGCTTTTGCAATAAATATCACAATTCCCCATTTATTACAAGAACACGGCTAAAGAAACAATTGAGGTAACTTTATTTCCGTAAGCAAAAAGCTAACAGCATTTGATATTTTTTCCTATTCCTATGCATAATATAATTACCTTATATATAGTTTCCTAAAGTGTTACCAAAATGGTGAACTCATTCTCCATCTTGGATACGGAAAACACGTTTCACATAAACCCTTTTTCATATCAAAATCAAATTAGGTTTCTGAATTTGTTCTCAAATAACTAGTATAAATAAGATTGAAGCACCTTAAATATTCCAAAGTAAACCAATATGTCGCTCAGAAACTTTGTATGCCGCAGGCACATGTTGACATCAAACCGCACCATTACACAACTGAATACTCCTAACACTAATCCATCTTCTTCTTCTTCTTCTTCTTTACCCCTTTTAGGCATTCAGTTTTCCTTAAGTAAACGACATTATATTTTGTTAACAGAAGAAGTTGAAGAACCACTGCTCTTGCTCTTACGTAGTTGGGAAGAGAAAACCACACCAACCACTATTTATCTCACCCATTCTGTTTACATGTCCGACGACAGATTCTACCAAGAAATTTCAAAACTTATTATCAGAAATTGGAATACTGTGGCGTTTCAAGATCGACGCAACTCTATAATAGAAAATACAATGAGGGAAGTGCGTCATATCATTAAACTTGATTCAAACAAGGGACGTCAAAAGTTGGATGTATGTGTGGATTTAAAATTGGTGAATGTTTGTATGGGAAGGATGTTGGTTCCAGAAGAAGAAATAGCGTTATCAAATCGTATGGTGCCAGCTAGTAAGTCATCAATGAAATTACTAAAGAAGATGGAGATTGATGAAGAAAGATATAGTAGCAAAGATGAATGTTGTACAGTGTGTTTAGATGAACTAATTGTGAAGGAATCTGATAATGCTGACATACTTTGCATGCCTTGTTCTCATATGTTTCATGGAGAATGTATTACCAAGTGGTTAGAGACAAGCCATTATTGCCCTATTTGCCGCTTTCAGATGCCCACGGAACAAGATTAGACTTATAACATCCATTCACTCAATTTTTACCTCTTATTATTATACTATAGAGTGCGCTTCTGGAGCAGTGCATACATGTTTTTAGAAATCTTTTTTTTTTTTTTTTGTAGAAAACGATATTTGACATGATTCATTGGAATTCCTTGTTATGCAGTATCATAAATTTCTAGTTGTAATATTTTGTTTTGAAATAATGCTGTCTTAGTTTGAGCTCGATTTCATATAAAATTGCTCGGGGAAATTACAGCTAAGTATAAATTTAGCTACTCATATTCATTTTAGGAGAATGTGACGATCATTAGACTAAAAAGAATTATAGGAAAAAAGTATATTCGTTAGATCGTTACTTCTGGGATTGCTAAGGAGCTTTATATCTCACCAGACTGGCTGTAGTTCCATAGTTGTCAGAGATGTAACGATTGATACATAAAATAATCGAATCCTAAGTCAAATATGTGAGAGCTCAACACCACTATTCTCGAACAACTTGGAGTCATGCCTTTTCACAGAATAATGTACCCATATATTAAAAAATGATAGCAATAGGGTATGTTTAATATCCAAAAATGTCTACACAACGATGCTAATACAATAAAAAAGAAATTCTAAACCAACAAAATGGTTGGCTTCCTAAATTTATCAACACAAATTCTCAACAGTGTAATTGAAATAAGGGAAAACACTCCTATTATTGAGTTATCTCCAGGGCAAGTTATTTGCAACTATAGGAGGACTATTATTTGAAGTTTCAACAAGCTGATTATGAGGGCTCACGGGCTCACCACTGGACTCGCTTACAGTTCCGAGCGATGATGGGCTTTTAGCCGCTGATGCTCCAGAGGCCATTGTGGATGGCATGCCACAAGCATCAGAATGATCCAATTTTAACTGCTTTTGACCTTGCATTGCGAAACTACCAACAATAACCTGCAACAAACAAAGGTCACAAAAGATGACATTCTTCTTTTGACAATTCTGAATATCAAGGGTAATAAGAGACTATCACAAACAGAATGTAAGGAGAAGAAAGCTAGGAATTAGTACCAAAGATTTACAACATAATTAATTCAGAATGTATCGAAAATAAGAGAGAATATATGGAATTTAAAGTCATGTAACACCTGTACAGCGGATGCTGCTGTAAGAACTCCTGCCACACCACCACCCAGAACATGGCCATCTGGCCCAGCTAGTAACACACTCAAACCACCTGTCCTGCTGCGCTCACCACCAGATTCCGAGAGAAGAAAGTAACCAGACAGAGACAGGATCTCAAACTGTCCCTGAGGAAGTAGCAAGTAATAACGCCTTAAGAAGGGAAAAAATACATCTTCAAAGCCATGGGAAGAATAAAGCAGCTGTGAATTATTTCCACTGGACATTTGAAGCAAAGTGTTTAACACTTCACTAAGTGATTCACATCTGACTAAAAAGACACAACACAGGTCAGCCACAGACCTCTTTTTTTTTTTTTTTTCAAACAGGTCAACGGTAGACTCACCTATGAAATTTGTGTGGCAAGTTCATATCTGATAATATCTCAAAGCTATGTCCATCGCTTAACGTGTATTAATAAGATACTATTAACTCCTTCAAACCATATAAGCAAACAATTAGTATAAGATGCACAAGGCAATACGAACCTCATATGTTACAGTTCCACCCGATATTGCTGCTTGCTGAAGTGTCACATTAGATATGGAGCCATTTGCTGACAGAATGCAGACGGCTTGCGAGGTACTATGAGAGAATGACATCAGTTTTGCCAATACATCCTGAGAAGAAAAAAGATACTAAATTGGATCTTCAAACATATAAAAGCAACTAATTTTAGAGTTATAGAATAAGGAGAATCACAAATACTCCCTCTGTCCCACTTTATATGACACCTTTATCATTTGGGACAATCTTAAGTGTTTGAGATGATTCAACTTCTATACAACTTTCAGGAACTCAAAATTCATTACATTCTTAAATTTTTAAACTTTTTATGTAATGTTTTCTCTGTAAAATCTCACTTTAAATTACTTTTTTTTCTGTTAATAAAGACAGAGTCCGGACCAGCTTGCTGCACCTTGGCTATTCTACTAGATAACTACATATTCCCACCAATATAGGTAACAGGTATTTCTGTCCACCAAAACTTAGACAGATGGCACGAAATCACCTAGCATTTTTGTCTCTGTTGAGATTCGAGCCCTAGACTCTCATGGTCTTCATTCCAGCTTCATTGATTATAAGCAATTTAACATCTTGAAGTCCATATCTTGTCAAATACCATCATATAAAAAGGGACGGAGCGAGCCCTATGTTTCTTTATCTCCCTACCCTTTAAATGGTAAACTATCTAAGCGCATTTGTTGAATTGACATGAATGCAGCTCACACCAACCAGTATAACTTTTTAAATGTAGAAAGCTATCCATGTAAATAAAAATATCCCTTTGAGAGAAAGATATTTACACCATATTTCAAGGGGATTGAATCTTTTAACTTTTAAAAAGAACAGTACAGTGATGATGTTACCCTATTAAGCCCTCAAATGGACTCTCAAGTAAGACATAACTGCAGAAGATCAAACCAAATTAGATATGTTGTTTCTATCTACTCTAAGGGGTCGTTTGGTAGAGTGTATAAGAATATCACTAAATATGGTTTATTAGTAATGTTGGTATTAGTTATGCTTGCATTAGTTATGCTGGCATTAGATATGGTGACATATTTCTTATCCATTGTTTGGTTTGATGTATTAAAGCATTGCACAATTTTTAAAAGAATTATTTGTTTATAGAAATACCCTCATAACTAGTTCATCACTTTATTTTTTTAAAAGAAACATATGTTGATGAATGTTTTTATATGAACAAGGTTTTTAAAAAATTATTTGATTTGTCTACCTATATTGTAGTATAGAACTAAATAATTATTTATAAAAAATATAATATGCTAAGTATTTATTTATTTACTAGGGATATAATTTTATTTCCCACTTTTTTGGATTATTTCAAACTTGCATTAATATAATAACATATTTTAATCAAGCATAAATTTTGAAGGACAATTTTGTCTTTAACTAAGCTAATGCATGCATTAAAGCCCATTACATTGCTAATACCATGGTTTCTTATGCATTAGTTATCAATAGGATAATACCAAATAAGGTGTATAACTAATGCTTGCATAACTAATGCATAGATTCAAAAAGTGTACCAAACAAGGTATTATGAATACACAAAGCTAATGCATGTTTTATTTTATCTAATGCATCCTACCAATCGACCCCTAAGCAAGCAGCCCTGGAACAACTGACAATCTAGCATCATTGTGCTACATAAAACCGAATCTCCATAAAGGCCAAGAAGATTTGACTTAGATGCTGGAAAAAACAAGTCATCCTTAGTTACCTGGTCCGTTGCTTTGTTTAAAAGGATCACTAAATTTAATAGTCAGACAGTTTAAGAAAATAAAGTGGGACCACCCCAAACAAGTGGAAGATAATATCCAAATTTGTTGGATGAACGGTCCTTACACAAGTTTTTTCTCCATGTTCTCTTCACATTTTATTATTTGAACTGGAATTCCATGAAGAGTTATATCACACGGAGCTTTATTCCTGATTATAGGATTGGAATCCAGATTTGAAGACCATCCAATCTGGAATACTGGGGTGTTCAAGGAAAACAGACTGTAACAACACAAAAAATAAGGGGACCACCTAGTAATGGCTCTATAATAAAACAAGAGGGCCCAGTAATCGTTATCTCCAGTGAATAATTTAGCAAACATTGATGCAGAACAGCCGCATGGAAACACACACACACACATATAAAAGACGACAATATGTAATGGTCCTGATAGATCAAACATTGTAAGATGTACAAAACAGAAAATTTGCTGAAGAAATTGGGATTTAGGAGTATAATACTGTTATATTTTTAAGGCAACCATAAAGTATCAGTAAAACATTCAGCATTGAAGCTTTATTAGCATATAAAATATCAATTTTACGCAAAAAAAAATGAACAGAGGACACCTTCAACTTGTACACACCGTTATCTTACTAATTCACCAAGAAAACAATACATTACTTAGTAAACTAATATATCTGCTGAAAAATATGTTTATGAAGCTTGTATGGAAGCAGAATATACTAAGAAATCGAAGCAGGCATATATTCAGGTTAAAAGGAAAGCAAACAAAATACAAACATAAAGTAATGATAGAAACAGCAACATCCAATGTACTTCAACAGAAAATAAATAGTGGGCCAGGGAGGTAACAAAAGCATCTGTAAGGGAATAAACTAGGTGGTACATTACACCTCTGATTAATTTACAAAAAAAAAAAAAAGAAGAGAGAAAAACCGTTCAGCTACTTTCTTATGTCGAAAGCTATATTTAATGACAAAATCTAAACGCCTACATAGTTAGACAACAAGACGCTCCCTAAATTCGTAACTTCTATAGTCAAATGGAAAGTACATTCGAGAATTTAACTCAGAAAATCAGCTTCTTCTGTTCTCTTTTCTTAAAATTAATCTAGGATTAAATGAGTATGGACATGAAGCAATGACAAATAAAACAACAAGCAAGGCTCATACCATCCCTCTCCAATCTACTAAAAAATGAATAAAATGGACAAAAAGGAAAAAGAAGAGCAATACACACACACTGAGACAGAGAGATAAACAACAAATCAAGGCCGCACCTCCCCTGCTCTTACTGTGATAACATGGGGTCTAAATCCAATCCCTGCACCTGCTGATCCTGCAAATAATATCTTATCAGTAACTCAAGCTTTAGTAAAATGAAAGCAGCTGAGCACAAAGTGTCAGCATTCAATCACATCAAATACCAAGAGCATGAGACTAAAAAGAACTTTTGTCGCTTGAAGTCCAAATTAAAAGAAAAGTAGCAGGGAAGCCAAGAATTTTAAGAGTTTTTTCCCTTGAGTAACTTGGGCAAATTAGCAAAGAAGAAAACAGAAAAATTAAATCTTCAAAGTTGAATACACAGCATTAGCAAATCATAATCATTTCCGTTAGCACTGACTTCTGCTGCAAAAGGACTCTAATAAATAGAATGCATCCCCTTTTTCACGTGGCCAGTAATGCTAGCCAGATAACCAAAAGAATTAAAATTAAGCATCATAGCATGATTTCTTGACACAGGAAGATAACAGAAGGATAGCCAGAAAAAGAAAGAATGCAATCATTTTGTACTGCATAATTTATGAAGCGGATATAACCATTTCTGCAGAAGAATATTTCACAACGAGCCCTCATCTTGCGCACGAAGTGCCCCCCCCCCCCCCCCCAAAATCCCCGTGTGAGGTAGGGGAAGAGCGGAGGTGTATGGACTAGAGATGGATCCAGGATTTAAATTCTGGTTCAATATTTATGTTCTCACTAATGAAATCAATGCTCTTTTGCAATAAGGTGTTCTAAACTTAGTATTGGTGAAATTTTAGTGAGTTTGACATAATATTTATGTCCATTACCCGTAGGGAGAACACTGCATCCGCCTTCTTGACGTATAAGTCACATAAGAAGTAACCGTTGCGCCAATGCTTGTATTAAGCAAATTATTAGGGTCATTCATTTGTACTTTTATTGTTTCTTAAGCTGCTAACCTTCTTATGGGAAAGAGTTCTTTTTTCTTGTTTCCTTTTATATCAATTGAATAATTGGTGGACAAAACTAAGTCTTTGTAGTATAATATATACAACTAAAAGCAAAGGAACAAGTGATCATAAAATTAGATAAAAAGCAATAATTAAATAATATACATGTGAAGAGATATCAGCTATTTATATAAACAATTGAAACCCAAGGAAAAGGTTAAAAGAATATTAGCGATTTACAGAATAATAATAAAATAAAAACCAACAATTAAATAATATACATGTGCAGAGACATATATTATATGTAGCTGTATATTACCTAATTCACCTAATTGCTGTTTACGCCCAGAACCAGGTGGTCTCCCCCTGCCCTTTTTCATTCCCTCCGGCGGCGAAAATCCACCGCCGGACTGCGCCGCCGACAATGACTGAGGAGAGATTATACCATCAGGAGGAACATACTTCCTTGGCCTTCCGCGCTTTCTTTTAGCCGGCTCAATTGAAGTAATAGGGTCCACACTCACTGGTGTAACTGCCGTAACCACCGACGTGTCTCCGGCACCGGCAACGGGAAGAGCAACGGTATCGGCGGGAACTTGATAAGTTTCCGTCGGAGAAGGTGAGGATGAAATTGGCGGCATTATAGGGTAGTACGGTTCCGTACCACCATCAGAAGCGATGGATGATTGCATTGGGGCGTGAACTCCATTGGATTCTGCAAACGACATTCTCCTGCTATTTTACTTTTACTGAACCACTTTGTTTTTACCAGTCGGGTAATTCTTGGGAATTGTACAATAAAGTTTTTATTGCTTCGCGGTAAATATATATACTTCGCGAGAACCCTAATGTGGAAAAAACGAAAGAATCTCTTTAATTAGATTCAGAATGAAAAAAGGAAAAAACAGATCACAGATTTATAATTCTTTTTTTTTTGGTAAATAAAGACATTTATTTAAAGGCAGAATAGCCTAAATGACACTTATACTTGTGCCACTTTGTCATGCCGGTTCCCAAACTTATCAGTTTGTCAATTGAACACTTACACTCGTTCAAATCGTGTATAATAAATGGTTATGACATGAGCTACCAGTGTGTGTAATACAATCTCCTACACGTAGGACGCCACGTCATTACTAGTGCCACATAGGAAAATAAACTATTGAAAAATAGAACTGGCTACCCTACAAAAATACGGAACCCATAGAAAAGAGATACAGTAGGTTCTCTCTTCTAAACCTGAATATACCCAGAAGCTTCAAGCGAGCTTTAATGGCGTCTCTGCCTGTCCCTCCAGTTTTGATCCTCAAACACAAATGTTTATTGCATTTTCAAGTCTAAATTTCAATACCCAGCTGAGTTTAATACTATGTAAGCAACAACTTGAGGTTTCAAATCAATAGATTCGTTCTTCGCAAGACCAACAATGGAATTTCGAAAATTCTCAACAAACAAGCCTTTGAGTCTCCTCCCCAAAATTCGATTAAAGATCCAAATAGCGAAACACAACAACAATAATCAAAACAGATCCATTCGTCAACCTAAAGAGTCATCGAACCCTTCACCTACAAAGCTTCTTCACAACCAACACTCCACCGTTGTACCACCAATCAACCACGAGAAAAAGAACCTGCCATAAAAAATGACTACGCAAAAGACCAACATCACCCAAAACAATCTGAAATTTTGCTACATGAAAACGAATCGAAAATAGGTTTCACAAGCAATCTTCTTCCACTATTTCTATTTCTTTTCTTTGCAAAGGCTATCTTCCAAAGTAAGGGAATAGGGATGTGAGAAAAAAATTCCCCAAAAACTGCTACTAATCTAGTAGAGGTTTTGGATCTATGGTGGATGCATATGTGAAGGGAAGGGCTGTGTTGTTGGGGGTGTTGGGTTAAAATGGGGGAAGAGGAATAACGTGGAGAAGGGAGGGGGGTTGGTGGGCCGCAGAACTAAGAGAAGCAGAGACGCCATTAAAGAGCTTAGGCACCTTCATTCTTTCTTTTTCTAATTTGATTTTTTGTATTTTTCTTTTATTTTTATTTTTTTCCTTATTTTAATCATTAAATTTTTATGTCCACGCTCCTTATATGCGTGAAATACACGTATTTTATCCACTTCAGCAATTAAGTTGCCACGTAGACTTGGTCAATGGTTAGAGGGGTTTAAAATATCGATTTTGAACAACTATAAGTGTCTGGACGAAACTTTATCAAGTATAGGGACCGGGATGACAAACACGACCAAGTACAAGTGTCTACCAGGCTATTCTGCCTTATTTAAAACATAAACTTAGTAGTCATTACAACAAGAGATTTGTCTAGGGCACGCAGTGCCTATCCCATCTCTATCAAAAACTGAAATAGCAAATACAGGCGGATAATAATACAACATTAATTTAGCAAAAGAGTCCAAGCTTCATCCATTCTTGGCTAAGGTGTCCGCTACTCCATTAGCTTCTCTGAATGCATGCTTCAAGGGTGGCGTGCCCGCCTCAGATAATAGGAACCTGCAGTCATCAATAATATTTTGATAAAGGCAATTATCATTTTTTATCATGTTGATTAGTTCCTGGCAGTCTGTTTCAATGACTAAAGGGGTTAGTCTCATTTGGATGGCTAGTTTTAGACCTTGTACTAGGGACATGGCTTCCATTTGGATATTTGTGGCGTAGGCAAATCCCATATTGAATCCTAGTATCCATTTTTCATTGCTATCCCTGAAAATCCCACCTATTCCCCCCTACCTGGGTTACCTAGGCATGATCCATCTATGTTTAGTTTGAAGGTTCCTATGTCTGGTGGTTGCCATCTAATAAGGATCGTTCTTTTTGGTAACCGGATAGGACTCCAGTTGCTTAGAAAAGGAATTATTGGGTACTATTGATTACTTTGTTAATATTTGGGTATGAGCTGTTTTTTTGAAAAATCTTTTCATTTCTCGTAGTCCATAAGTACCAGAGGAGGAAGGGTAAGAAGACAGGCCAAGTGATGTATTGATTATAGCGCTTGTTTGAGATTAGTTGATGCTTTAGCCAGTAGAAAAAAGAAAATTCGTTATCCGAAGGTCGGTAGTTGTGTTTTATGTGACATTGCCTCTAGATTTCCTTTGAGTGAGCACAGTAGAAGAGCATGTGTTTTATGTCCTCCTTTTCTGATCCGCAAATGGTGCAGATGTCGGATGTGCAGATGTTACGTTTTGCTAGAAAAGTGGCTGTTGGGAGTCTGTTGAGGGTGAGCAGCCACATGAAGTATTTTAGTTTGTTCAGGGTGTTGCTTCTCCAGATCCACTTAAAGCCGAGGTTATTCTCTTCAATCTGGTTGTCCTGTTGAGTAATGAGGTCATAGGCTGCCTTGATGGAGAAATAGCTATAGCCTGGGGAGTTCCAGGAGATCCTATCCCTACCTGACTGGGATTGTTGGATATAAGTGCTATGAATTTTTAGGGTTATATCTTGTGGTAGTCCGAAGGATAATTTTGAGAGATCGAAGTGGTCATCCTTAATGATGTATTTTACCTTTATATCTTCTTCCCCTCTTTGGAGGGGCCCATGGATACTATCCCTTAGCGTGTTCCCGTGGTTTATCCATCGGTTGTTCCAAAGGTTTTGCTTTCCCCATTACCTATAATCCATTTGTTCCCTTTTTGGCAAAACTTGTTTCCTTTACAGATGTTTTTCCAGATGTGTGAGGACAAAGGGCTAGTATTGGGTCTAGTGATATGGTTGGCTTTCCTATCATATTTGTTGCTCAGGACTTGGACCCATAAGGCTTCCTTGTTGTTAGAGTATCTCCAGGCTAGACTGGTGCTGAAGGCATCATTTTTACAAATGGTATTAGCCAGCCCTAAACCTCCCTATCTTTTTGGGGTAGTGACTTTGTTCCAGTTAAGCAAGTGGCATTTCCTTTTTTCCTCCGTACATCCCCATAGGAAATTTCGTTGGATGGAATCTATCTTATTTTGAGTAGCTCTTGGTAGGTTGAAAATTTGCATGTTGTGGTTAGGGATGACTGCAAGGGTTGACTTAATGAGGGTGGTTCTTCCTGCTAGGTTTAGGAAGTGGGTTTTCCAACCCATTAGTTTATTGTTTAGACTGTCAATAATGAACTGGAAGTCTTTTATGGATAGCCTCTGGTTTGTCATGGGGAAACCTAGGTATTTACCTACTGAGTTTGATATTTTCATGTTTAGGCATCTGCTGAAGAGGGACTGTTTGTCCGGGTGTGTGTTCTTTGAAAAGATTATTCTAGATTTACTGAAGTTGATAGATTGGCCAGAGAAACTACAAAATGTATTCAGAGTATCTATGAGGGAGTCACAGCTTTTTTTATTAGCCTCCATCATAAGAATGAGGTCATCAGCAAAGAACAGGTGAGATAGTTGGGGTCCCTTTTTTGACAGGGTTATGGGGTCCCATCTACAACAGTCAACTTCATGGTTAATGAGTCTATAGAGCATTTCCATGCATATTATGAATAGGTATGGGGATAGTGGGTCTCTTTGCCTAATGCCTCTAGTTGGAGTAAAGAATTCTGTGTTTGAGCCATTTATGAGTAGGGAGGTGGATGTGGAGGATACACAGGACATTATTAGCTCAATTAGGTCTTCCGGGAAATTTAGGGATTTCAGGGAGAATCTAATGAAAGACCATTCCAGTTTGTCAAAGGCCTTTTATAGGTCAATTCTATTCATGATTTTCCCCTTTTTTCCTTTTGAATTTTTGAAAGAGTTTTGGATTTAATGCACTATTATGGCATTGTCTGAGGCTCTCCTTCCTCTTATAAAGCTTGTTTGAGAAGGATGGATAATTTTGTTGAGCAAAGGTTTTATTCTATTAACGATAATTTTGGTGACGACCTTATAGGCAGTGTTACAAAGGCTAATGGGTCTATATTGCCTTAATGTTTCAGCATCCTGATGCTTTGGTATTAAACAAACAAAGGTTCTATTCATGTCCTCGGTCATTCTTTTGCTTGTGAAGGATTCTTTATAGAAGCTGACTAGAAGGTAGCTAGTTATTCCCCAGAATTTTTGGTAGAAGAAAGGATGGATACCGTCCGGTCCAGGTGCCTTTAGTGGTTTAAAAGAAAAAAGGACATTCTTTACTTCCTCCTCGTCTGGTTCCCTTGTGAGCGTGGGGTGGTCAGTAAGGGTAATTGAGGATATGGCAGGCATGTATAACGGTGTTTTTGGGAGGAAGTGTGATTAGTGGTATATAAATTTGTGTAGAAGTCTGTTATAATGTGGGTAAGTTCCTTTGGGTCGTGGAACCAATTACCAGCCTCATCTCTAATGCTAAAGATCCTATTTTTCCTTCTTCTTTGCAGGGTTGTGAGATGGAAAAATTTTGTATTGGCATCACCTTCTTGGATCCACTGGATTTAGATTTCAGCTTCCAGAATTCCTCCTCCAATTTGAGGATTTTTTGTAATTCATCTAGTAGTTCATTTTCTAGATTAGACAAGAAAGTGCTAGTTGTGTAATTTGAAGATTTTTGAATGCCTTCTAGCCTAGCTAGGATTTCGTTCTTTTTTTTAAAGATATTTCCAAAAGTATCCTTATTCCAGGCAATGGCTTTATTAGTGAAGTTGTTGATAGCGTTTGATATATTAAGCTGATTTGCCCAGCATTCCATTACTAGTCCCTTAAAGGTGGGGTGGGATAACCACATGGATTCCAGTCGAAATATATTATTACTACGGCTGGGTCTTTTGATAAGATCCAGGTGTATGTGACAGTGGTCAGAATGGGTTCTTATAAGGTGTTTTACACTGGCTTTAGGAAACATGCTAATCCAATCGTTGTTGGCTACGAATATGTCCAATCTCTCCATAATGAAAGCATTTTTTTTCTTTTTCCTCTTATTTAACCAAGTGA